TTTGAGTGTTTCAGGCCAACCCATTGGAACTTGAAGTGTGAGAATGGCTCATCCCACACACCCACAGTCATTTTCCACTACACTTGCAATCACGTAATGAGGTGTGGCACCATAAAGTAAATGCAGCTGACTGTAAAAAACACATTTAAAAACGTGCCAGAGCTGTCAGAAGTATTACACCCAATGAAAGCAGAGCAAAATCCATACTAATAATTACAGGGGCAGGATTTCCCTCTATGAGCATGAACTAAACAGTGCAAGCTAAAGTATTTTAAAAGGCAGTAGAAAAGCCCATGAGAATTCAGTACAGTATTCTGCACCTACGTATTAGCATGCTTTCTTCATCTTTCAGAGCAGTAGCCAGGTGCCACAGTTCCCTATTCATGTCCCTCTTTACAGCCACTCAGTCACACTGCTTTTGCTCATCCGGGGTGGGAGATCCTGGGAGTCAGATGAGGTGAAGGCTATGGAAGCTTGACTGGCACTGTATTCATCCCAACACCTACCTAATCTCCCAGACTTAGAGGTGATCCAGGGAGTTTAACACAAGAAAGAAATTCCCAAGGCTAGGCACTGAGAACTGGCACACCAACCCTGCAAGGTAGCTGCCACCTCTCCCTCACACAAACATTGGGAAACAAACAAAGAACCCAGTAGTTGGTTGAGGCAAGGACTAGTTTTAGTACTGCAAACCCTCTCAGTTAAAAATCCAAAGGTTTTATTGTTCTTGTTTATTTAAAATAAATAAGTAAAAATAAAAAATAAAAAAGGATAAACGTTCCAAACAGATACAAGAAACTGATTTTCAAAATACAGGAACAAAGTGAAAACAGACTTACATACATTCAGGAAGAAAATACACTAGAAAATAATAAAAGCTAAACTACCATATCTATATTCACACTTGAGTGGAGAGATAGCATATTTGGCGAACGTGCACAGAGTGCATCCTCCTGACACAGTTTCTCCTTGGAAGTCAGACTGTGTCCTTTCATGAAATTACTGAACAGCAGGGGAACAAAGCATTGTTCTCCTCAGAGATGTGCTAGGATAACTAGTTTCCTAAACCACTTCTTTTTTTACAAGTAAATGGACTAAGGGCCATTACACACCTGTTGCCAACAATATCATAAGTCCTTTCATGTTCAGTCAGGACAACAGATAGCTTCCTGATCTCCTGCCATTCACTCTATCCAATTTGCATAACTCTCTGGGACAGAAGTGGGCTGACCCTTTTCAAGTCAGGGTTATAGATAAGGCATCCTTTTGGGGTGACTTTGATATGCCCTCTGAGGAAAATAAGTATAGAAGCCCTTGCTCCTTACTTAGTCCCATCTTTGAAGTATTCACTAGCAGGAGATGAGTTGAAGGTATGAAATGTCTGTTTACGCACTGACTTCTGCCTATTAAGTCAGCTTCTCAGGATCTTGCAGAAGGGTGGAAGAGTCTAGCAGCTGAATTCTATATTTCATATACCCCAACTTCTTAATTTTGTCATACTAATGTTTGATAACATCTTTCTTTGCACATAGGTAACATACTGTAAACATGGTATCCACTAGTCCAGTGGTCCTGAACCTTGGGCCTCCAGATGTTCTTGGACTTCAGCTCCCAGAAATCCTGGCCAGCAGAGGTGGTGGTGAAGGCTTCTGGGATTTGTAAATGTAAAAGTAAACCCAATGGGAAACATTCAGGTTCTGCTAGTTTTAAAGCTGCTTCAGCTCACCAGAGCAATAGTACCTCTCTGCAGTTACCAGCACTACTTTCTGCCAGCCTGTTCAAAAATTCATTTCTTTTCTGACTGAATTTTAACTATCCTTTTTCACTTTCTTGTCACACACAAGCGCGCCCGCACACACACGTGCACGCACACACACACACGCACATACACACCCCTACTGCAAAATCAGTAGCAAGAAAGAGCATACCATGACAGATAAGTATAACTGCAGTCCAGGTCTTTGAGAGACTTGGTAGTTATCTTAATGAGTTAAGATAGATACTGATTGTAATTTATGAAGCTGTAGTAACATCATAATCTCGAGCCTGTTTACTTTGAAGTAAGTTGCATTATATTCGGTGAGATTCATTTCCAGATACCTGTAAGTGTAAGGCTACTGTCTAAGCGATTTGGCAGCAAATAGCCATCTATATGAGTGTTCAGATCACAAAATGAAAAACGCACCCGATTAATTTGCTATTTTATATCAGCATGAAAGGAATAGTGAAGAATGATGAAGGATCAGGTCCTTTTCTGAGGATGATCGAGATTAATGCACTGACCACAGAGGAAGTATTTTCTACCCTTCTCTCTGGTTGTTTGTCCCTGGAGATTGCTGCAGAAGACTTGAAGCTTTCTTTAAAAGCAGTAGGTTCACAGTCATACATATGCAGTGGAGAAACCCTTATTTTGGCAATCATATTTTATTAGCATGGAAATATAATCTCTCCCTCCCTGCTAGTGGATTTATGAGTACTGTATAAAATGTGAGCCCTATATTATTAAGTGCTTTGGGCACATATTTTGTGCATCACCCTCTTGGTGAGCTACACAATTCTTCCCTGTTACATCCTCCCTGTTTTGTGTTCTAAATTTTATTTCTTTTTAATCTTGACTGCTAGCCCTTTAAACAAAAAAAAATGGCAAACGCTTAGAAAACTATCTTCATTCCTACAGGAATGAATACTCCTCTAATATAGACATTTTCCTTCAAATTACTGTTTTAAAGGCAATTGTATTTCCCCAGTTTCACTGCCATCATAATAGAAGACATCTGTCTAAGATGATGACTGTTATCATTGCTGTTAAGCTCTTGTCCTTTTTGATTTCCAGATTTTGACATAGTACTTCTTGTAGTCTTGAATCTGGGAAGGGCAACATCATCATGCTGATGGGAACTTAACATTTGGGAAACACTATGATAGATTTATAAAAAAAAGATTACTAGAGCAGCAATATGAGTCAGCCAAAAATATTTTGTTGTGCAATTTGACTGAAAGAATATATCAAAGTAATTGTATGTTTGGAATAGCTACTTTTCTAATTTATTTTTTTAATGGAAATATATCAGAAGACAATTTAAGTCTAAACAAATGTTACACAATAAGGAATGACATCCAGAGTACATTCTTGCAGAAAAGTACAAATTGTCCCTAATTCTAAATTGATGTACTACACTTATATTCTGGTGACATTTTTCCAAGCCTTGCCAATATTGTGTGTTGTTTGAATTCATTGTTCTCCCAGTACCACATTGTAGTAAGTAAGTAAGTAAGTAAGTAAGTAAGTAAGTAAGTAAGTAAGTAAGTAAGTAAGTAAGTAAGTAAGTAAGTAAGAAATAAATAAATAAATAAATAAATAAATAAATAAATAAATAAATAAATAAATAAATAAATAAATAAATAAATACAAATAAGATATCATCACCATGGGGAGGGGGGCGATGATAACTTCCTCAATGGCTCAAGGGGGCATTTCTTTCAAAAAGGTTAAGAACCACTGAGCTAGGGTACCATGGTCCCTCCATTGTGCTTCAGCTCCTTGTACGTAGCTGGATGTAGCAGGTGAATTTGGGGATGTCCTATTCAGAAATCATCATTCTGGGCTGTTTTTTATAATTTCAATTTTCTACCTGCAGTGGGCACTGGAATGTTGTTCCTGCAGATGATTTTTGGCGTGTTGCATCTGTCTCATCTAGTCACATGTTTGTTGTGGATTTGGTTGGGTTGTCCTACTCAGAAGTTGCCATTCGTGGCCATTGTATTCCATTCCAGTGGAGTTTGGGCCAACAAAGGGTTATTGAAAGAGTAATATTAATTGGGTTTGTTCTCTAATGTATGGGATAGGCGGGATATAAATTAAATAAATAAATAAAAATAAAAATAATATCTTGAAAATGTGCACTTCTTTAAAGGCCTTTCTGCTCATAACACAATGTGTTTAAAAATAGGGGAAAATCCTAAGTATTTTACAAGAAACCATGTCCATTCCTGATTTGTTTGACTGATAAATGTGTACACCTGATACACACAGTGGGAAGCACAAATTGTCATTATATGTTCATGCTCTGTAGCAAAAGCAAGTAACTTGTGGTTTTTCAGATGGTGCTAGATTCCAGCTGCATTATCCCTCACCACTGGCTATAGTGGCTGGGGCTGATAGGAATTGTAGTCAAGCATCATTCTAGAGGACACAAATCATGGGTCCCTGTCTTAGTTTTAAGTAGATGCTGAAGAATGTGTTAGGGGTACAGCTTAAAAATTGTAAATTGCTGCTGGTCCTGCAGAACACTTGATATGAGTAGACTAGTACGTAGGTTGAGAACAATAAATTTCATGTAGATCCTGGCTCCTGTTCACATTAAGATTGGCATCAAAGAGCACAAAACCTGTGCCCTCCCATCACCCTGTCAAGAGCAGTATTTAAACAACAGTGATTATATAAAGTCATGCTATAGAATTAAGCTTGGGTGGAAGGAGACAATCAATACAGAAAGACTATTTATTTCACAGGCGGTGTGTCATTTTGCCAGTGATTCCTTCTCATTAAATATGGGGAAAAATTATTTCTGTTTCTTTTAAATGATGGCTTTTTTAAAGCTTCTAATTAATTGGAACAGCTAGAAGAACTCTGTTTTTTCAAGCTTTAGCTTTGATGAGGGTGCAGGGTGTGAATAGTATTTGAGTGTTTCAGGCCAACCCATTGGAACTTGAAGTGTGAGAATGGCTCATCCCACACACCCACAGTCATTTTCCACTACACTTGCAATCACGTAATGAGGTGTGGCACCATAAAGTAAATGCAGCTGACTGTGTAAAAAACACATTTAAAAACGTGCCAGAGCTGTCAGAAGTATTATGCCCAATGGAAGCAGAGCAAAATCCATACTAATAATTACAGAGGCAGGATTTCCCTCAATGAGCGTGAACTAAACAGTGCAAGTTAAAGTATTTTAAAAGGCAGTAGAAAAGCCAATGAAAATTCAGTATTCTGCACCTACCTATTAGCATGTTTTCTTCATCTTTCAGAGCAGTAGCCAGGTGCCACAGCCCCCTGTTCAAGCGTCCCTCTTCACAGCCACTCAGCCACACTGCTTTTGCTCATCCAGGCTGGGAGATCCTGGGAGAAAGATGAGGTGAAGGCTATGGAAGTTTGACTGGCACTGGGTCCAGAAGACATCTTTGCTCTCCCTTGGATTTTTACAGGCTGCACCTAACTTTTCCAAATGTTGAAAAAATTAGTACTAAAGACAGGAAATCACATTCCCAGAAACTTAATATCATTGTAGTACACCAATGTAACTGTAGTATTTCTTGCTTCTCTTTATCTTGAACTGACATTCAGGAGCAGCTGTATCATGTTTGATCTTTTGGGAAGAAGAATGGGCTGGTTTTTAAAAAATTATCCATTGATTTGTAAATGTAAAAGCAAACGCAATGGGAAACATTCAGGTTCTGCTAGTTTTAAAGCTGCTTCAGCTCACCAGAGCAATAGTACCTCTCTGCAGTTACCAGCACTACTTTCTGCCAGCCTGTTCAAAAATTCATTTCTTTTCTGACTGAATTTTAACTATCCTTTTTTACTTTCTTGTGACACGCACGATCACGCGCACGCGCGGGTGCGCACACACACTGCAAAATCAGTAGCAGTAAAGAGCCTACCATGACAGATAAGTATAACTGCAGTCCAGATCTTTGAGAGACTTCGTAGTTATCTTAATGAGTTAAGATAGGTACTGATTGTAATTTATGAAGCTGGAGTAACATCATAATCTCAAGCCTGTTTACTTTCAAGTAAGTTACATTATGTTCAGTGAGATTCATTTCCAGATACCTGTAAGTGTAAGGCTACTGTCTAAGCTATTTGGCAGCAAATAGCAATCTACATGAGTGTTCAGATCACAAAATGAAAAATACACCCTATTACCGTATTTTTCGCACCATAAGACGCACTTTTCCCCCACAAAACAGGTGGGGTGGAAAGTCTGTGCGTCTTATGGAGCGAAGAAAACAGATTATATTTTCCTGTTTTCTTCTCCTAAAAAATTGGTGCGTCTTATGGAAAGGTGCGTCTTATGGAGCGAAAAATACGGTAATTTGCTATTTTACATCAGCATGAAAGGAATAGTGAAGACTGATGAAGGATCAGGTCCTTTTCTGAGGATGATGGAGATTAATGCACTGACCACAGAGGAGGTATTTTCTACCTTTCTCTTTGGTTGTTCGTCCCTGGAGATTGCTGCAGAAGACTTGAAGCTTTCTTTAAATGCAGTAGGTTCACAGGCATACATATGCAGTGGAGAAACCCTTATTTTGGGCAATCATATTTTATTAGCATGGAAATATAATCTCTCCCTCCCTGCTAGTAGATTTATGAGTACTGTATAAAATGTGAGTCCTGTAGCATTAAGTGCTTTGGGCACATATTTTGCGCGTCACCCTCTTGGCGAGCTACACAATTCTTCCCTGTTACATCCTCCCTGTTTTGTGTTCTAAATTTTATTTCTTTTTAAACCTGACTGCTAGCCCTTTAAACAAAAAAGTGGCAAATGCTTACAAAACTATCCTCTTTCCTACAGGAATGAATACTCCTCTAATATAGACATTTTTCTTCAAATTACTGTTTTAAAGGCAATTGTATTTCCCCAGTTTCATTGCCATCATAATAGAATACATCTGTCAAAGATGATCACTGTTACCATTGCTGTTAAGTTCTTGTCCTTATTTGGACGTTTGTCCAGCACATGCTACTGTTTCTGACATCAATTTTTATTAAGAGGCCCATGTTTCAGATAGTTCCATTCTATCCTTTACCTACTCTCAAAATAGATTGACTAAAGAAATAACGGCCATGAATTTGCAAGAGCTCAGTAGGGTTGTTAATGATAGGGCATGCTGGAGGTCACAAGTCCATATTATTGCCATGAGGCAACTTGGTGGTATAGAAACAACAACATACCAAGCAGAGCTTAGAAATGTTACTGTTTGGAACTACAGTTCCTAGATCCCCCTGAGCTGCAATATCCACAGATGACAACACAACTTTCTTCAGGACTGTGATGTGACCAATCATCTGATTTGCTGAAGAGTCAGATTTCACTTCTAGGCACGTCCACAGCTGAGCGTCCTTTCGGCTTTGGCCCAACCACTTCATTAGCTCTGGAGCTACTTGTACTTGTCCTCCGCTCTTCCTCAGTAGCATGTTGGACGCCTTCCGACCTGAGGGGCCCATCTTCCAGCGTCATATCTTTTAGCCTTTTGTTTCTGATCATGGGGCGTTCTTGGCAAAGATACTGGAGTGGCTTGCCATTTCCTACTCCAGGTGGATTGCGTTTAGTCGGAACTCTCCACTATGTCCTGTCCGTCTTGGGTGTCCCTGCACGGCATAGCCCATAGCTTCTCTGAGTTACTCAAGCCCCTTCGCCACGACAAGGGAGCAATCCATGAAGGGCCTGAAATATCTAGCATATCTAAATACTCTTTTGGGGTCAGTGTAAGTCCTAAGTGGTTTGGTGGCACATGACAATCACCTTAAAATTTATCATGGGGAAAAGGGTATAGAAAGATCTGTACAGAAGGTTGTCAAAGTGCCACTCTGTGTACCTTGTAACGGAAATGGTTGCCATTTCAACATATGGGTGTGTTCCATAGATCATATTTTTCTCAGAGCTTCCAAATTTACCACAATCCCCCAAATACTTGAGGCAGGATGGCCAATGGCCATCCAATGTGGGAAATTCTGGGAATTGTGGTAAAAAACACAATTTTTCCCTGCTCTGTTTCCACCCATTAGTTCATGTAATTGAATGGGTTTCCCTAAAGGGGGGATAAAATGCAGCCATCTTCCACAAATGTCGGATTGTGAAACAGAGAATGTCAGACATCACTGGAGCACAGGATACTCTTCAACAAATAGGAATACCTCCCTGAGGGGACCTGTATTCTGTGGTTTCCTTCTATCCTTTACTCTATGATTAAGGTCTTTCCTTTTCTTCTGAATTCACAGGTCTAGGCAACATCTCCTCTAAGCTGCAGGGCTGCACAGCCATGCAGTGCTGCATTGGTGCTGAGCACCCACAGCCACTATTGCTGCCCATTTGATTCCAGTCACACCTTGAAGTTTGCATGCTTGGGGCAGGGTTTCATCTGGTGGAAAACTGAATATGATGAAAGAGCAGCAAATTGCTCCTCTTTAATTACATTCAGTTTTCCAGCAACACTGAGTGGAAACCCCACCCCGTACATGAGGGGTTCCAGTTGTGAACAGAAGCAAATGTTGGTGCTCTGCACTGTGGCTCTGCAGCTTAGAGGTTGCCCAGGGCAGTCTTACCATCAGGGAGAGGGAAATCCCTTGTCTTGTACAAGGACAGAAAATTAATTTTACACCACAGAAGTAAATGTTCTGCCTTAGGTATCACAAAAACTGTGTACTCTTGGCCTTTGATTTACACAGGAACCAAAGTGAAGATTTCAAAGTCTCCTTCTATTGATCAACACTCTTGAATGTTGTTATCCACAGATTTGATGAGGGAACAAGACTAAATATATGGTACCATTTGTTATTGCGGCCAAGAAAGAAGGGATTATTTGGTGAGGAAGTATGATCTTTTCATAACCAGCAAGAAAAAAGAACTCCCCACATCAATGGGACAATCCCTTCATGTAGTTTTCAGCTACTCTGTCCTAAAACCATTCATGTAAATATTGCAGCACCATTTTATTTGGGAGGGTATCTCTACATTCCAGGGTACAGAAGTAGTCATGGGGTGCTAATCTTGTCCATGCACCCTTCTCTAAAGGGCTAAACATTTTTGTTTCACTTGTAGGTCTTCTTCAGATGGATCAATCCTGCAAAGAAGAGAGAGAGAGAGAGAGAGAGAGAGAGAAACAAAACAATTGGATAGATAGACAGACAGATAGACAGAGAGAGAGAGAGAAACAAAACAATTATGTAATTTAATTGCATTTTAAAGTTTTTTAAAATTTTGTACAACTGTCCTCTAAGCACCTAATACTCAACGATCGACTCCTCCAAGACCCATTTTCACAAGGACCACCAGCACTTTCAAAGCATGTGTGGCAACTTGAACGTGTCATGCATGGATGATAGAAAGCTGAAGTAAGGAACCTCCTTTAGACATTTCATGTGCAGCTGTCCCAGTTGCTGAAAGGTTGTGAATGTGGAAGACCCAGTGTGATGTAGTGGAGAGAGGGATGGAGCATGACTCAAGAAGCCTCAGTAAATATCCTTGCTTGACCATGTGAGCCCAGTTGAATGGGGCACTTGGTTATACTTTCACTGGGGATTCAATATAAAATGAGTTGCTTGGTGACTCAAGGTTAAGCATCCTAAATCCACCAGGCTTTGCCAGTTCTTGGCCTTGTCCCACATTGACGTGCGGCGGCGTCAGTGTGCATTTCCATTCCGATTTCATTGTATGGCTCCCCCCTTCATTGCAGCTTGGCTCCACCTGCTGCCATCCATCCCTAATGAACAATTTGATCTAAAACTCAGTCCGAAACCCTCTGTATTTTCAAATTTCCATCCCTATGATGGGCGCAGGGGGAACACTGCAATGTTTGCACATGCTTATGGGGAAAGTATTCATCTCTCTGACAAATTTCTTCTTCTTTATTTTCCGTTCTGAAGAATTCTTCTTGAAGAATGTTGTGAATCTCTGTGAACACCAATCAGACCAGGCCTGGGAGAGAATATCAGGAATTACTGGGATAGATTATTGTATTAGTCAGAATTACAATTCTGTGGTCTCACCGTATTCCAGGATCCCGTCCACTCTCAGCAGATCCCTCTGTCCCTCCCTTGGTCTCAAACCAACTTGCCAGGTCTCCAGGGGCCCAGGCTGGAGTCTTCCCAAACACTTGATCCCTGAAGCATTTCTTGAAATTGGGACATGAGGTGGGAAATGTCTCACAATGTAATTGTACCGATCAACAGGTGAAATGTCCCCCCCCCGTGAGTCGCATCACATCCCTGCACCTGTGGACCCACAGACACCCTTATCTGATGGCTGCAGCTGTTGGCTGCAGCAAAGATGGGGCTCCAGTTCAAGTGTTGGGCACCATGGCCCATTTGTTTTTCTTTTTGGCAGTCCACAGTATCCATCCTCCAGTTTTGCGAATTAGTAGAATATAAATATCTGAGAAGCTGGCTATATAGAAATATGTTGATGAATAGGGGCACTGCCCAGAAAGGGAGATGAGGGCTAGAGACTTGGGCCATTGGTGAACTTCAGCAGAAACCAGACTCCAGAGAGGCAACGTGCAACAGGTCTCCTCCTAGGATTGCCTGCCGCCATTCTTCAGGCAGTCCTAGTATATGCATGTCTTTTATTATTTTACTGCCTCTATGTTTTCTTCTACTGTCTTTTGTCTCTTTAATAAAGTTGTGTAGTTTTTTTTTGTCTGTTGATGTTCTTATAGCTACTCAGTTCTAGAAGAACCCTTGTCAACCTTGACAAGTTTAACCCCAGATAAATTCCGTCCTTTCAACAACATGTCACCTGCCTTCAAGCAGTTTCTAACTTAGCCGATACTATGAATGAGTGACCTCCAAAACATCCTATCATCAGGAAGCCTTGTGGTTTCCTTGCCATACTCCGGTTGTTAATGTTGTTCAGCTGAATGTATGATTGTGATACTCATTAGCAATACTGTATGAAATATGACAAGTAGTTATTTAGCTCATTAAATCCACTGATGTAAAAGCACACCTGCAAGTAGGCAAAATTGATCATGACCAGCCATGACACACAACTCAGAAAGAATTTTGGAGTCTGGCTACTGTTAAATAGAGAAACGTTACTCTTGAAAATAGTATTTTGGTAGTTCTGGGTATCTTTTTCCTCTATAGGCAGAGAGATGAGATTCTGTGTAAATAACGTTCCTTCTAGCTTTTACGCTAGAACTGCCATCCCTAGGCAACAACCTTACTGTGGCATTTGCGATCCATTTGGGGATTGGGGAAGAGTGGTTTTGAACAATAAAAAGCACTTCTGAAGAAGGTAAGGAGAAATATACCTTAGGAATCAGAAGTACAAGAACCTTGTAAATCCCCATGTTTATTACAGAAGTAACAATTCAGAAACAAATTTATGTTGCTATTGCAACAGGAGGTTATGTGGTTTTATTTTTCATTTTCCAATGCCTAACATTGGAGATGCTGTGTTTTTAACGGTAACATTCCAAGCACCAGGAGAATGGATTTTTCTACCTGCCCTCTGACCTAGAATTTTTCACGAGGGAGTTGCTGCTGTTTTAGGTAGGTGTGAACATGTTTGGATTTAGGGGTTATCTCTGCTATGCTTTTTACTGAAGATTATATGCCCAGAGAGTGGTTTTTCTCATCTCGCCTTTCTTAATGTTCTCTTAGAGGTGGTTTCTCGTGTTGTTGTTACATGCCTTCAAATTGCCTTCAACTTACTGTAACCCTATGAATAGGAGTAGAAGGTGAGGACCATGGAAGTAGGCATGATAAATAAGAAAAACACTGACCCAGTAGTAATTTTCATGACCACAATACCAACATGTAATTCTGAATTCTGCACTTTGCTAAACTCTATATTATTAAAATAAATAATTACTTTATTTGGATATTAGAGTGTTCTCTAATATGGACCAACATAACTACAGTACCTAAGAGTTTTGTGACCAGTAGATGGCAGCCTTAACTATCATTAAGCACAAAGAAGCAAACTAAGGCTGCCACCAAGTGGCCCTTTTTATGGGTCAGTGTGGTCTAAACAGGGCAAACTGAGGTCAGGAGGAAAATGTGCCATTTGGTGCAATCTTGGCAAACTGACCTCAAGCAATCCTATTTTTGGTATTGTGAAGTGACTAAATGAGCCACTTCAGGATATCAGCAAACTGAACATCTCCCCTAGGTAAAGGTAAACGTTCCCCTTGACATTTAGTCCAGTAGGGTCCAACTCTAGGGGGCGGTGCTCATCCCCGTTTCCAAGCTGTAGAGCCAGCGATTGTCCGTAGACACGTTTGTCCGTAGTCACGTGGCCAGTGTGACACGAAACGCCGTTACTTTCCCACTGTGGTGGTACCTAT